CAACGACGGTGGCAGAAGATGAAGACGAAAGCAACGGCGAAGATCAACGGCAAAAAGTACAAGTGAGGAAAAACAATACAACAAAAACAGTACAGTACAATGCAGGCTTCTCTTTTTCCACGACCGATTCTGGGCTCATCTGCAGGGCGAATGGCTGTGCACACAGCCAGACACAGTCAGTCGTGATTGTGCTAGTGCTGGTGCCTAAGCAGCAGCAGCAGCCTCAGTTCACCCAAAGTAGAAGGAACCAGCGCAGCACCAACGCCGCTGCGAAGGAGTAGGAGGCGAGAGAGATAGCGAGAGCTAGAACACAAAACGAGCTTCGTCATTTGTGTTTCTGTGTCAATGTGCAACGGAAAAAAACGTTCAATTAGGAACACGGAAGAGAGAGTGAGTGAGTGAGAGAAGGCGCAAGAAGAGAGAGAATTCGAAAGCGGCAGCAGAAGTAGCAGAGACACACACAACCAGAAGGCAAGGGTGGTCTCTCTCTTACTTTCTGGTGGCTTGTTTGTGGGAGTCGACTCGAGCAGGACGACTCACACACTTTCTCTCTATCTTCACTTTCTTCGCAGTTGCTGGGGTCCAGAGCGGCGAGGTTATTGACTGCTTGAGTGCCGCCGGATAGAAGAAGGAGAGGAGACGGAGAAGAGGAGACATACCGTACACACACACAGCAAGTTGTTTGGAGCTTCAGCGAGGACCGATGCGCGCGAGCAGAATATTCCTGAGAGTGTGTTGCGTATATAGGCAATCACCAAGACACACACGAGATCATCGGGTCGTTGTGCCCAAATGGGCGAGAGGGAGAGAGAAAGAATCTCCCTGGACGAACCAGTAACCTACAGAGTAGACCATTTAGATCTTGTCTCTTTTTCTTTTCCTCCTTCCTGGCTATATACAGTGTACGGCGGCAGCTGTCTGATCATCACAAGTAAGTTGTCTCATACACGCGGAAGTGTGTGTGTGTTGACTCATCGCAGAGAAGACCAGGGACCACAATACTGTTCTTCTTTCTCTCTGGGGACCACCAGAGACAGTGCACTACGACGACACAGAGGCCAACTAACCAAGTTCTGTGTGGTGAGAGCATCATCATCTCTTTTGCTTCCTGTTTGGTCCGGGAAGAAGGGTAGTAGAGAAAGAAAAGGCGAAATACTGAATGACTGAATGAGTGATGCAGCACTGCCACACAGACTGCAGTGTGACTGCAATGAATAATGAAATTCGTCTGTTCGTGTGTCGGTGGAGGCAGTGTTTGTGTGTGGCACTGCCAAAGAGAATCGTACGTGAAAGAGAGAAAAAGAGTTTACAAACTCGCACGCAATTTGTGACGCATCACATCAGAGAGAGACGCAGCACAGAATCGCATGGCACCGATGGGCAAAACAAAAATTAAAAGTTTAATAAAGTAAAGCTGGTGATGATCAATGAATGAATGACTGGCTGGCTGAGAATGCGTGTTCATGTCAATTTGCCGATCTGCATCTTGGCTCGAAGGACTCTCACTGAATGGTAGATCAAAGAGTCGACGATTCCAGCAACTGCAACAATGGGGAAGGAAGGAAAAGAGAAAAATCGAAAGCAAACAAACCCAACAAAGGCACGCACGGTTATCGATTTAGGCAAATGCAACACTGAAGAGGTGAAAGCACTTACCGGTGAGAATTCCACCGACAATGCCGCACAGCGTTGTCAGGAAGTGCAGAAAGGAGCGACTCTTTTCGCTGTACTTTACCATCATTGGCGCAAATTCGTAAATGAAAAAGACACCGGGTAATCGACCTTCCGTCATCGCATCAAAGGTGCTGCCAAAGTCTTTCTTGTAGCGAGTCACGGAAAACTGGTTCGTTTGAATTTCCTGTGAATTTTTCNGGGAAAAATCGAAAGCAAACAAACCCAACAAAGGCACGCACGGTTATCGATTTAGGCAAATGCAACACCGAAAAGGTGAAAGCACTTACCGGTGAGAATCCCACCGACAATGCCGCACAGCGTTGTCAGGAAGTGCAGAAAGGAGCGACTTTTTTCGCTGTACTTTACCATCATTGGCGCAAATTCGTAAATGAAAAAGACACCGGGTAATCGACCTTCCGTCATCGCATCAAAGGTGCTGCCAAAGTCTTTCTTGTAGCGAGTCACGGAAAACTGGTTCGTTTGAATTTCCTGTGAATTTTTCATTGTAAGTTTCTTAGTCCATCAAACTAATGACAGTTTTTACTTACCTCCCCGTCAAGACTCTGAAAGATAGTAGGAATGATCTTGATGTAATACTGAAAGATTGCCAAGCCTCGTCCTAGTAAAAGAATAAAATCATAGGTGATAAGAAAAAACAAACTTGCAAGAACGTCTGGCGCCCTCTCTAATGATAAATTGCAAGCATCACCAATTCATCACATCATATTTGAGCATTCACCGCACGTGAGATTTTTGCTTCAACTTCGGCTTGATTTGTTTTTGGGTAAACAGACGCATCAATTTAGGTACATTCCCAGTTCCTGCAACGGCGTCCCTTGCCTCGACCACTGATTCCACCAGCTACATAAAATGCCAGCGGTTCAGAATATGTACGGTCGTGCTCAGCAGCCTTCGTGCTGGGATCGAGTCAAGTACGGCTTCATGATGGGTGCATGTGTCGGCCTAGCATCTGGTGGACTGTTCGGTGGATTCCGAGCACTAAGGTAAGATCAATCTCAGGTGTGCAAACAACGCTAAACTAACTACCATTATCTTCTCTTTGACAGCATGGGACTGCGCGGTCGTGAGCTGATCTCCTCGGTAACAAAAGTAATGGTTCAAGGCGGTGGCACATTCGGCACCTTCATGGCCATCGGCACTGCCATTCGGTGCTAGTGCTATCATTTCACCGTAGTCATTGAAAACACTGTCTAGAGCGCGCGTAGTGTGTGTCTACCCTTGTACAAATACAATCAACGCCTTACCTTCGTCACTAATGTAGGAAACGCCATCCAGCTGATTCACTGTATTGTCCAACTTTTGGCCAAAGGAAAGGTGGTTTATCGTGTGCGAGGTGTTCACCTGTTTGAATATTTATAATATTTGTAATAAATTACTCAACAATTCCGCATGAACGCCCTGTGTACACACAGGTGTACACTTACCGTAAGCAGTTCACTGAGGTTGATGTCGTGCACTGCGCGAAATGACGAAATTGGTGTGAAATGTACAATCGTTAAACTTCTTTTTTTTGCACGGTCGTAAATAAAGATTATGAATTTACCATGAACGTGATGCTTCTCGAAGCTCTGTCCCAAGGCGAGATGAAAGTTGCCTGAAATTTTGTTTACCTCTAGCGTGCCAAACACCTGACAGCCTTCCTTTGACTGGCTGCCATCATCGGTGATGCCTTCGCGGCGACACTGCTCAATCGCCGCGGGATTCCATGCCCAACCCTTGGTGTTGTAGGCATTGCGAACCTCCTGACAGGTATTACAGCACCTAAAATTAGCAGTGGTGTAAGATTTCAGTGAAAGACGATTTCATCGGAAAAGCCTACCCTCCTTTTGCCCCGTAGCAACTGTCACAGCGATTAGGATCTAGTGCCACTTCATTTTTCGTTTCTTCAATGGAAACATTACCGCTCACAATTTTAGATTTCTTGGTAACAATGGCTGAAAAAGGAAGAAAAGCAGATTAGCCTTAAGAAGCTAGTTTGTGTCATCATTGTGGCAATTACTGTTATCCTTTTTTGGTTGCTCTATGGGAGATCCGTGGTCATCAAGCCGCCGCTTGAATATATTGTGCGCTATATTGATGTGCTGTTCACCTGAAATATCGGTGGCATCAAGAGATAAATCTGAAGAGAAGTGAAGAACAATATGCGGTCTCATTAGGTTATCACCGGCAGCCATCAGTCATCGTCTAGTGTGTGAGCGCTTACGTGAGCAACCAACATGAGGAAAGGTGATGTCAAATGATATCCTCAGCTTCTGACCGCTGGAGATGTCGATCATCAACTCCTCGTGCACGTAAGGAGTTAGGTAGTAGTTCAGTTCGAGTAGNAAGAGAAGTGAAGAACAATATGCGGTCTCATTAGGTTATCACCGGCAGCCATCAGTCATCGTCTAGTGTGTGAGCGCTTACGTGAGCAACCAACATGAGGAAAGGTGATGTCAAATGATATCCTCAGCTTCTGACCGCTGGAGATGTCGATCATCAACTCCTCGTGCACGTAAGGAGTTAGGTAGTAGTTCAGTTCGAGTAGAAATAAAATTGCAATAATTGAGCATGACAGAAAGGTTACTGTAGTGAAAGAGAGAAAGAAAATCGATAATTAGAGTAAAGACCGAAAGAGGAAAGAGTAAAGCCAAACAAACCAGTTGCACCGCCGAGTGTTTTGATTCTAAAGTCCTCCAGCGTCTTTGGATACAGATCAAGACTGGCCAGCCGGTCGCGAATGCTTCTGAAGGTAAGGCCATCATTCGGGTACACTAGTGGCTGCTTCTCCATGACGGCGCTCTTTGCAGCGTGGACACTGGTAGTAGTTCTTATTGGGTTGGAACGACCCGAATTAGGTGGGCAGTCGCCGGGATATATCACAGATGTTGGTGAGTTGTCAATGTGGCCGCCTGAAAGAAAACATTCAATCACCAGAAGGCTGAAAGTGCGGCTTTCCTGCCATCTTTTAGCCGTTGGGGCAGTTAGATCACTTTGCGCGCGAAGTAAAGAATAAGCTCCCCTTTTCTGCTGCTGCAGTCAGAACACTTTAATTTCAAAAATCAGAAGTCCATTTGATTTGCTTTCATTAGGGCTACCGCGTTGATGTATTCTTTCACTCGATTCCATAGATACGCCATTAAGACACCTAAAAAGTGTTGAGTTGTTTCAGTCGAAAAGACGTTTGTAAACTATGAACTACAAACCAGCGAAAAACCCAACAACGATGACCATTAGGTAAATGCCAAAAACGAGAACTGAGCTGGATTCCTCTTCCTCAGCCATGCCTTTTCAAGAAAAAACGCTCAAAACAATTTTACGATACTCTACAGTGTTTTATACTTTATTGAACCAAAAGAAATGAGAACATTCAAAGAATTGAAATCTCTAGCAAATTAGAACAACACCGAGAACAATTCATTCACAGCAACAACAACTGCTGACTGCGTTCATCGCTCACACACCTCAAAACTGCTTAGTAAGCAGTTGAAGTGGAAAGAGCAGCAGCAGACGAGGTCATCTGACTTGATTGATTACCGGACATCATGGTCGTTTTCTGCTTCAGTTTGAAGCGGTTCTTCAGGTGATTTGGACTCTCAAAGATGAAACAGTAGTGGTAGAGGATGATGCAGATCAGCGTGCCAATGACAGTGGCCACAAAGATGAAGACAAAGAGGAGAACGCCAATTGGGTAGCTGTAATCAGGTAGATCTTTGTTGGCTTCTGTGATGAGGAAAAAATGATTTATTGACCCTGACTGTTTACTGTTCACAGTTTCAGGCGACTTACTCGGCTTCATTGCCTCTGACTGCGGTTGCTGCAAGTGGCGGCGCTCATCAAAGTGGTCAACTGAAGACGAAGAGCGCCCCATCTTCAGCGGGGATGTGGTGACGACGAAAGGACATTGGAGAAGGTGAAATGCGAGACCAAGGAGAGGAGAAAGTGAAAGATACATACTGACTGGACTGAGTGAATGAGTGTACATAAATAAAGAGTGTGTTTGTGAAATACTACTAAAAAAATATGACTAAAATCGAACTGTTTGTGTGTGAAAAATTCAGTAGTTTTCACATCGAATGACCTTGACCTCCTTCACGTTGTGGCCCTCCTCGTCATCGTCAATTTCACTGGGGTCAAATTCAACTTTAGGTGCCTGGAAAAGGGTAGAACAAATTAATGATATGAAGATCAAGCTTTCCAATTGCTTTTTACCTCAATGAAGAGAATATTCTGCGGCGTCATCCAAGAGCAGGCCCGAGTAGGGTCAATGTCATGCGGCAGGACGTATTCTCGGTAGAAGTGATGAGTAATGTACTCTCGACCGTCCTCCATCTTCTCCGGATGGGCGGCACGCACAAAGAAACCCTTCTTCACCGCTCGAATGGAGATCTCTTCTGGTTTGAAGTGCAGCATGTCCATAACTAGTCGGTACTTGNATTCTCGGTAGAAGTGATGAGTAATGTACTCTCGGCCGTCCTCCATCTTCTCCGGATGGGCGGCACGCACGAAGAAGCCCTTCTTCACCGCTCGAATGGAGATCTCTTCTGGTTTAAAGTGCAGCATGTCCATAACTAGTCGGTACTTGTGCGGCTTGACGATGATCTCGCCAATCGGGTTGATGTGCGCCAGGCCGAATTTGACGTCGTCCAGCCACTTGGACTCTTCGTCCTTCTCCACTGGGGAGGCGGTCGCTGCAGCTCTGGCTCTGAAAGTAAAATATTTTGTAAGTAAAAATTGCTTTTAAAAAAGGCTAAACCAGTTTAGTAGTACCTTGAGGCCAGGTCATACTCAAGAAAGGGATTGTTTGAGGTGACTCCCTTCAGGCACCAGTAGTCAGTGGGTGAGCCCTGAGGCCGAGCGCTTTGGTGAACGTAAGCCATTGAAGAAAAAGAAAAACTAAAGTTTTGTTTTGAAGTGGTTGTTGAAGTAGAAGAAGAAGTAGAATAAAAAGTAGTGTTAAACTTGCACTGTCAGTGGGGTTCAGCAGTGTGAAGTGAACTGGCCATCAGGTCTCCTTCACCGCCACTTAAATAGGCAACTCGGGCTCGGGTGGTGAGTGCGTGCTGGTGGTGCTGGCATTGAATGAATGAGGCGCCACACTCGGGACTGACATCGTTGTTCATCTTTGCGATGATAAGTGTTGTTGTTGAGGATGATGGTGTTCGACAAACTAGAACTTGCAAGAAGTGGTGGTGGTGGTACTGTCTGAATGCCTCTCTTGGATTGGATAAATAAACACACACACACTGGTCGGACTGCCACACCACGGTCGCTGTACAGAANATTGGCATTGAATGCATGAGGCGCCACACTCGGGACTGACGTCGTTGTTCATCTTTGCGATGATAAGTGTTGTTGCTGAGGATGATGTTCGACAAACCAGAACTTGCAAGAAGTGGTGGTGGTACTGTCTGAATGCCTCTCTTAGATTGGATAAATAAACACACACACACAGACTGGTCGGACTGCCACACCACGGTCGCTGTACAGAATGCCGGTACTGTACAGTGTCTGCCTGTACTGTGGTGGAAGAGGAGGAGGTGGTGGTAGTGTACGGTAGTGGTGACTGCCACAGAATCGGGTGTGAGGGAATTCATATTTGCTAATCGGAGAAAGCGCACCTTCGCCTCCCTCCCTCCCTCCCTTTCCCTCTTTGAATTGCTGGCAGAAAACACACCACTTTTCTCTGCCATTTACATTTTGGGTAATTGTCACCAAGTATTCTCACTGGAGAAAGAGAGCTGTGTGTTCCCTATCGCCGCCATCAGCGACTGAGCAGCGACTGCTGCTGCGGCAGCTGTCGAAACACTCTGTGCTCTCATCTTAATCTACTCGCACATCTTGTGATGTGCTGTTGTTGTCTGTTTGTGCGAGTGTGCACAAGACGCATCCATTGATCGACGTACCAAGGTTAAGGTCAGCTAGAAAGTGTCGCTAAGTGCCATTTCGAGGTCATTGTGCAAATGCTTTTCAGTCTGAGGGAATGTAGATATGTGTGTGTCTGTTGTTGAAATGTGTCAACAACTGCTATTTTTACAATACATTTTCATTCACTCTTTCACACCCTGTCACATTCTGGTGTCGGTGGTTGTAGTAGTGTTGGCAGATCCAATCGATTGAACTCAGTGCACCAGTGTCACCGAGTGCAAAAGCGTAGCGGTAAACTTTTCTGCGGT